AACTTTCATTTAAGGTCCAACCTCAAAACTGGTATAGAACCTACTGTTCTAGTTTGACCAAAGTAGGATCACGATGAAGCTTAAATTATCCTTTTTGATCCATTGGAGCGTTTTCGTGGCATTTGCCCAACATGAACCTTTCATGACTTTTGTTGTAGAGTTCATCTAGAGTCATTTGGGCATGGTTGCAAAATTTGGTTGATGATCGAGAATTCCATTCACTTTATAAATTAATTCAAGCAAGGACATAACTCGTCATTTCATGTGACTTTTTGATTCCAAACTTCATGAAACTTTTCGAGTGCCCAATATAGATGGGTATTGATGTGAGACACATGAAGATATCCCAATCACACCACCCAAGCATATATCTTGAAAAGGGGTCTATAGGCGAGCAAAGGTGCAATATCCAAGTTTAGGTTGGGGCTCGTTTCTATAGGTTTGACATTGACATCTTCATCCTCACTTAATATACCAGGTTTTAGCTCAAACCCATTGCTTAACCGGTGGCAAACACCTGGGGTGTTACAACAGCCTATGGCTGGACCGTCCTAGCTTACAAATTCAAATTTTGGTATTACTGAAAAGGTGGACAACCAAGATTTGGACAGCAATACAACCTAATAAGTTGGTGTTGGTTTAGCCAATAAAAAGGGAGCAAAAGATGAGAGAAAGAGAGAGAGAGCTGAACTAGTGATCTGGCCAAAAAGATGTCTCTCCACCTCCCCCTCTCCCCTTTTATAGGGAGGTGGGAGAGGAGTTTCTCTTTATGCCTTCTAGTGAGGTTTGTATTTACAGAACACCAACTATAAATAGACTCCTGGTGGGGCTTTCATTTATAAAAATACCAGTAAAGGCTACAAATAGGCCCCCAATATTATTTTGTGTGCTCTAGGCTATCTGTGCGTCATTATAAAAGTTGGTAGTTATCTCTAAACTATTAAAAAAGTTGAGCTCCCATAGGTGCCAATGCTCTAAACTCTTTTGTCCTCTACGTCACTTTCATCAGATTTGGTTGTAACGGTGTCAAACCGCGGGTGTTGAAAAGTCAAAAATACCCTCAGGCCTGAATATGCAATTAATTTTTTAGCATCTTAATGACCTCAAATAAAAAAACTCAAAACTAAAAAGTTGTAGATCTCGACAATATCTATAATTTTTTGTATAAAATTTATCTTTATTGAGATCCATACAAAAAAGATATGATTTGAGATTAATATGTCTTAGAAAAATCATATTTTTTGTACCGAATCAAATGAAGATATTTTTATATAAATATTGTAGATCTCGACGAAATCTACAATTTTCTAGTTTTGAGTTTTTTCACTTGAGATTGTTAAGATGCTCAAAAAAATAATTGCGTATTCAGACCTGAGGGTATTTTCGACTCTTCATACCTGCAGTGTGGCACCGTTAGAGCCAAATCTGACGAAAGTGGTCTGGATGGAAAAAGAATTTAGAGTAGTGGCACCTATGGGAACTCAATTTTTTTAATGGCTTGTAGATAATTATCAACTTTTATAATGGCACACAGGTAAAACCTCTATGTAATTGGGCCCTGAATGTGATAGTGGGTCCCCAACATATAATGTACCCCGCAAAGAGCAAGCCCCTCGTATGCCGTCCACCCCGACACACTTGCGTTGACATACCCGTGACCAAGCCCATACGCTGCATGAAGGACCTCACCTCGCTTTGACGCAGGCACCTGAGAGAGACTCTGAGCCACTGACCGCTTGCTCCGCAGTGGGAGCACCGACTTAGCAGGTGATAGCTGCTTGGGGGGCTGACGAATTAGCGGGGAGTCAACCTTCCTCGGTACCCGTTTAGTAAAGCTCTTGAGGCGGCGTGCAGCGGAGTTGTCACTGTCCATGGTAGGCTGGCCGTCCCGCGGTGGCGTACTGAGCAGGCCAGCGTCCGTCGCTCGGCCGGACCAAAGCTTGGTGGATAGTCCACCTCATCCTCCGAAGATGCATCAACACCCGAGGCGGCAGTTTGTGCCACCCATGGTGGCGTGACCTGTGCCTACGCCTGCCCGGGCGATAGCGGAGGTGAGTTCGTTGCTAACAGAGCAAGGTGGGATGGAGCAGCCCACTCTGTTGAGGAGTCGCCAGAGCGATCGTCACGCTAGGACGACACCTGCAGCCTACCTGAGAGGGCGCATGTGCACACACAGGTGGCCATTGACGAGGTCCCATGTTCCGGAGAGGCCGACACTAGAGTTGTAGATAGGCTGCTCGGTGTAGGGCCTCTCGCGGTTCGGCTCATAGCGAGCGAGCCCGCAAACTCCTCTAGCATTGGGTCCTTCGTGACGTCACAATGAGCACGTGTGGCTTCTGGGTATAGTGCCAGCGTCAACGGGTCGAGCTTGGCGTGGCCCGTCTCGCTGGTTAGCTCACCTTGTCCATCCGGGCTCTAGCAACGATGGAGATGTCGCCCAGTGCTTAGTGCTGTCGGGGTGTCGGCTGTTGACCGACCCTGACACCTTCGTTGTCGTTGCCAGCGGTCGCCGCTGACACAACCGGCGCTGCCCTGCACGTCCCCATTAGAGTCTCGTGAACCACCGTGGGCCGCTTGCCGAGCACCAACGGGGCAGGAGTTATAAGTCACTTTGATTGTGGCTTGCCACCCAATTTGGAACAGCGCCTGAGCTCTCGTGATCCCGCGAACTATGGCGCTTCTGACCGCCAGCGGTTTGTTGAAATCCCCTTGCAGCAAGATACAACGTTGTGGCACCTTACAGGTTGCCACCTGGTGCGTGGTGGAGAGGCAATTGAGGCACTTGCCATGTAGATATGCAGGAATGTGTCTCGGAGGTCGATGGCTCACCGGCCGCTCAGGTCCTGTTCGATCTCCACCACTTGTCGTCCCTCGCGACAGGACCTTGAACCAGCCATCCGCGTCTGGGGCAGAGATGCGACGGCGGTCACCGGAGCCTCTGATGGACTTGTCATTAAAAATGGAAGGATCAGTGAGTAATCCGCGGCAATACGCAAATTGGACCCGTTCGCTTCGCTAAAAAAAAAAGCCGAAATACTGTTCCGGCTGATTTGTTGTGAGAGAAAAACACTATTCCCGCTAAAAAAACAAACTGAAAAAGACGGATTATAAGAGAAGCGAACACGATCATTGTCTCCATGGAGGTCCCTTGGAACCAATTGTCGAATCCTCGTGGAACCCTCTTTCGCTTTATCCATTCGAGGTCAGCAACATATGCAACCGCTATAATCAAGTCATTGTTATCGGATTCCTCTTCATTCCGCCATTTTTCAATTAAATCCTCATCATTCAAGACATATTGGTTCTATTATAGCACATTTGCTAGTCTAATAAAAAAACGAAGTGATTCCTATATTTTTTTTATGTTCTAAGAGCATCTCCAAAAGTAGCCAAAAGAGTCTCCAAATCCAGAAATTTTGGCAAGATTGAAAAAAAAACTCATCTCCAACAACCTCCAAATCCACCTCTCAATCTTTTGGCACTTGGAAAAAGCCACCCCATGCACGTAAAGTTTTGCGCGCGCGTATCGTCACCCCAATCTGAGGTGGAAGGATGTGGGGTAGAAAAAAAAGTAGGACATGGTTCCCATGCAAATATATAATAGAGAAATAAAGAATAAAAGTGGTTAGTGTGATTTAGATATAGTTTATGATTCCTAATGTAAAATTATCTTCTATTTTTGAGGCGCAAGATTTTAGAAACCGTTAAAATTGTAGCTTTTTTATGTTTTCCAATATATTTTGCAAAGGTTGAAAAACCTGTTTTTAGAGTATTCTTTTAGATACTGTTGGAGATGCTCTAAAGTACTATTCCTTGTGTTCTAAATTATAAGTCGTGACTTATAATTTGGAACGCAGGGTACTCTGCACTGATCAGCGGATGTTTTGAATGGCAGAAACGCTACTCAGCTCACTTTCCATGCCGTGAGCCGGTGAGGTCTCTGGTTGTCGGCTACTCTGGTACTCCCTCTGTCCCAAAATAAATCAATTCCTAGAATCCGTGCCAGACAAATTTTTTAAAGTTTGACTAACTTTATAGAAAAGAATAACAACATCTGTGACATGATATATTCTATGATACATCTAATGATACTAGTTTGATATCATAAATCTTGATGTTTTTTTTCTATAAATTTGATCAAAGTTTAAAAAGTTTAACTTAGGATAGCTCGAAGAATTGATTCTTTCAGGGACGGAGGGAGTAGTAATATTTGCTCAAAAAGTTTATTAGTATAGGACTGGGAGTACTATTTATCTCTCTATTTTTTTTTGTTGAAGAAGGCCTATGCTATTGAGTATTGACTTTTGTGTTACACCCCACTGATCGCTGTAATCAGTTGACGATGTTCACCACGTATAAATGCGTAGTGACTTTTGGTGATCCTGAGAAAGCAAAGTCAAATAGTATACACCCCATTTCCGTTCTCACTTTTCAGGTGTTCGCTTGCATTCATTCTCTAGAGTCAACGGCTCAACGCAGCGGCAGGAGTACGACAATCGAGTTCACACATAAGAATATTTGCACATTTTTTACAGTCGATTCCAAAACCTCCATCCTCATTGGTTTTACAATTCATAGTAATAGTTGGTAGTGATAATTAAGTTCATCACCACCAGTTACAAACCAACAATAATACCAAACTAAAATCGGCCTCTGAATTTGTCATTTAGATCTATAATTTTTTAGATCTCTAAACATGTTAAGCTCAACTTTTAGTAGTACTCCGTATAGTAGTAGGAGTGATCACATGAAGTCAAACCCGTCGCCGTCGCTCGAGCGATCAGGCGTAGACAAATGTCTCCCTTCCACTTGCCGTCCATATTTAAACCCAACTTGGTCAACATTCACATGCCATGCTGCCCATGCGGCCATGCCGCCACCTGCCCTCCCCCGTGTTCCAATAAATCTACCTGCTCCCCGACGCGGCGGGGCTCGGCCATGCCCGTACCGCTAGGAGCTGTAGCCGGCGCACCCACAGGCCGCAGCAGCAGCAGCCACGGATGAGGAGGCCTCCAACCCCGGCGCGCGTGCGCCGCTCGCTCTTCCTCCTCCTCTGCTGCTGCTGCTGCCTCGCCGCCTGGTCACCGCCGGCCGTGCGCGCACTCCCGCTGTGCACCGACGGGCGTGAGCACCTACCGCTTCCCACGGGTTCTCCCTCTTCTCGCGGGCGTGTTCTGAGTTCCGATTCGCTTGTTTCTGCAGGGGCGCCGGTGCCGCTGAACAGGACGCTGGGCTTCTGCTCCGCTTACGGCGGGCGCAGCAGAAGCAGGAGCAGCTGCTGCGACGCCGCCGCGGACGCCGCGCTGCGGAAGAGGTTCCGCGCCATGAACATCTCCGACGCGGCCTGCGCTGGCGTCGTCAAGTCCGTCCTCTGCGCGGTAATCACTAGCCAATTGATTTGAATTGCCTGCCCACGGTTGCCGGTTAGCTTGGCTGAATATCCGTGTTGTGTTTTGACTGTTGACTGTGACTCTGGGCTGCGGGATCCCCAGGTTGCACGCGCCGTGCTCGATTATTTGCCTGATGAGGTGGTTAACGTGGTTGCATTTGTTTTACTCCCTTTTTTTGGTGAATACTAGGTAGTTTTTCCTTCTTAAAATAGTGCCGCTAGCGTTGATCCGTCATTTAAGTACTCAGTTAAATACTATTAGATCTCGGAGTGCTGGACAGCTAGTTGGATCTTCATTGAGATACGGGCGCACTGTCTACCACTATCATACCTATGTTAATACCAAGAATCTTGAGAAGAATATACTAATAAACATCGATGTGCGTCCTGAAAAGGGGAAAATAAAACAAAGAGATTCATGTTGGGTATGTTCAGGTGTGGTGTTTGCTTAGATAGAGTTTATTCCACTTGTTCACTGCAATTAATACATAGTTGAGATGAAAGCATATGTTTGTAGTTGAAGATAAGCCTTTGCACTCTTCTGTTATGAATCTAAAAACTTGAGACAATCCTTGTTTCTTTCTAGGTACCATGACTGTTGGAGAATAGGGAAAAACTCATGGTACAGAGAGAGAAAAGGACTTGTACAAAACCACTCTTATCTTTGGGAATAGAGATGTCAACCCTATGTTCATACTACATGTCCGAGTGTCACTGTCAAGGGCGTCGGTGCTCAAGGTAGCAGGCCCTTGACTACGAAGCTCGTAGCTTGGGTTGGTAATGGCGTGGGGTTTATCCCCTGGACGCCCTATGTTGAAGGGGATGAGATTAAGATGAAGGGGATGAGATTAAAAGCAGCAGAGGTAGATTAGGAGATAACTTGTTTCTTGATTGCCTTCTCATAAGCTGATTACAGGATATATATAGGACTGCCCAGCCCCTAGGCACTAGCCACAAGCTCCTTGGTTCTCTCCCCATTAATCATCCTTAATCTCTCATTAATTCTATCCTTTCCTCAGACTACTAATTGTCATTAACTACAGCTGGTGCCCCCTTGGAGACTGCCCTGGCTGCGTCTCGAGCCTTGGAGCGCCTTTGATATTGGCGCCCCCACATGACATCTACCCCTCCCTTGATGAGCAGCTCGTCCTCGAGCTGGAAGGTTGGAGAGCGGTCGATGAAGCTGTCGATGTCCTCCCAGGTGGCTGATGCAGTTGGAGGGGTGCCGGCGGACTTCTTCACTAGCCAGAAGACCGGATGGTCCTTGTGCCAAAAGGACATGGTGAAGGCCGCAAAGTTCGACATGATTGGGCCGAGTGTGGCCAGCCATTGGGTACCCAGCACCTCGTCGTACCCCGGCAAGGGGAGTGCGAAGAAGTCGGCTGAGAATTGATTGCCATTGATGGAGAATGGCGCCCGCCTATACACGCCTGTGTACGGCACGCGCTCGCCACTGGCCATCGTGACGGACGCAGAGCTGCAGCCGACCATAGGGAGTCCGGTGCGGCTGGCAACCTTCTCGGCGATGAGGTTGTGCGTCGAGCCCGAGTCGATGAGGGCGTGGACGTTGACGTCGCCCAGCCGGAGGCGCACTTGCATGGTGTTGCTGGTGTGGACGCCGGTGATTGCGTGGAGCAACATCGGCGGTGTTGGATTGGCGGGGTCGTCGGAGGCGGCGTTAGTGGCATCATCCGTCGCTGCCAGGTCCAACAAGAACAGGCGCTGGCACACTTTGTTGTGACCACGCCAGAACTTTTCGTTGCAATTGAAGCAAAGGCCAAGCTGGCGGCGTTCTTCCATCTCGGTCATTGACATGCGCCTGACGGGGCGGCCCTCCACCATGACGGTGGTGGCTGCAGCAATCGAGGCAGGTGACGGAGCCGGTAGGGCGAGACGTGGTGGAGGCACCGCGAGGAGGCCCTGCTGCTGGTCGCGCGGTGGTGCGGAAGGCGGCGCGACAGCAACAGTGCATTGGTCGCGCAGCTCTAGTTTGCGGCGAGGCTCATGGCGATGATGAGAGATTGGGGGTTGTGGATCTCGACGTCGAGGCTGAGCGGCGGCTGTAGACCAGCGGTGAACGCCTGCACCCGCTATGCCTCCGTCAGCGTGCCCACGCGAGGCAGCAGGGCTTCAAACCGATCCTGGTATTCGGAGACGGAGACGGTCCGCTTACACGCCATGAGTTCGCCCAGAGGATTGGAGCAAATCGGTGGCCCGAACCGGAGGTTTAGGAGCTCTGAGAAACGGCGCCATGAAGGTGTGCCCTCGTCCTGCTGGACTTGGAGGAACCACATCTGGGCGCCCCCTTCCATATTGTAGGAGGCCATCCACACTTGCTCCTCTACGGCGATGCGCTGCTGGTGAAAATAGGACTCACAGCGATTGATGAATGCGAGCGGATCAGACTTCCCGTCAAATTTGGGGAAGTCGAGCGTCTGGAACCGGGGCGGCGATCACCCAGATGGTTGCCTTGGCCAGAACCTTGGGAGCCTGAGAAGGATGCTGCTGGTCGCTCCTATTGCAGGGCCGCCACCTGACTACGGCGATGCGCTGCTCTACGGTGCTGGTGAAAATAGGACTCACAGCGATTGATGAATGCGAGCGGATTAGACTTCCTGTCAAATTTGGGGAAGTCGAGCTTCTGGAACCGGGGCGGCCTATCACCCAGATGGTTGTCTTGGCTAGAACCTTGGGTGCCTGAGAAGGATGCTGCTGGTCGCTCCTGTTGCAGGGCCACCACCTGACTCTGGAGGGTACTGATGGAGGCATTCATGGAGGTGGTCAAGGCCTAGATCATCTTGGCCAGATCAGCTGTAGATGGTTCGGCCATGGGTGAGGATATGGAGGCGGTTGAGGTGGATGGTGCAGCTGAGGTGGGAGGCTTGGTGGTGGCTGGAGGGGGTGGTGGTGGCGCAGTAGCGGATGAAGAATGCTTGGAAGCCGATACCAGGTTGTCAAGGGCGTCGGTGCTCAAGGTAGCAAGCCCTTGACTACGAAGCTCGTAGCTTGGGTTGGTAATGGAGTGGGGTTTATCCCCTGGACGCCCTATGTTGAAGGGGATGAGATTAAGATGAAGGGGATGAGATTAAGAGCAGCAGAGGTAGATTAGGAGATAACTTGTTTCTTGATTGCCTTCTCATAAGCTGATTATAGGGTATAGATAGGACTGCCCAGCCCCTAGGCGCCAGCCACAAGGTCCTTGGTTCTCTCCCCATTAATCATCCTTAATCTCTCATTAATTCTATCCTTTGCCCAGACTACTAATTGTCATTAACTACAGCTGGTGCCCCCTTGGAGACTGCCCTGGCTGCATCTCGAGCCCTAGAGCGCCTTTGATATTGGCGCCCCCACATGACAGTCACTTCGTCAGTACTATCGCACTGTGACTTGTTTTTAAAGATTTATATTGCTTTATGTTTTCCATTAGGCGATACTTTGCTGTTCCTTGTTGCTTTTATATATACTAAATGAAAAAAATCTTGGTCTACCTTCAGGAATGCAATCCATTTTCTGCTGAGTTGTTCAACTCAAGCTCAAAGATTCAGATGGTTCCCCTCCTGTGCAACTATACTTCCTCAGCAAGTTCTGCTCAGTCAAAAGATTCTACACAAGACTACTGTAAACTAGTTTGGGAGACTTGCAAAAATGTGACAATAGTAAATTCTCCTTTTCAACCTCCCTTGCAAGGAAGTGCAAGACTGCCTAGTTCATCGTCAAAGCTCACAGATGTCTGGCAGTCGGAAGATGAATTCTGCACATCATTTGGTGGCTCATCTGGAGACCAGTCTCTATGTTTCAATGGAAATGCAGTTTTCTTCAACAGCACAGAACCATCACCCACACCTAAAGGGATATGCCTTGAGAGAATAGGCAATGGATCCTTTCTGAATATGGCTCCACATCCTGATGGATCCAACAGAGTTTTCTTGTCTAGCCAAGCTGGAAAGATATGGTTGGCAACCATCCCAGAACAAGGCTCTGGGGGCATTCTACAATATGATGAGGCAAATCCATTTCTTGATATAACTGATGAAGTTCATCATGATTCTCAGTTTGGCCTCATGGGTATAGCATTTCATCCAAAGTTCGCTACCAATGGACGCTTCTTTGTTTCTTATAATTGTGATAGAACTCAATCGCCTAAATGTGCTGGTAGGTGTTCATGTAATTCTGATGCTAACTGTGATCCGTCAAAGCTCGGCCCTGACAATGGTGCTCAGCCATGCCAGTACCAAGTTGTTGTTTCAGAGTATTCTGCAAAAATCTCCTCATCTAACGTTTCTATGGTATGCTTTGTTTACCTTCACCTGTAAAAATCTTGATACTCTAGTTATATTTCTCACTGTTATTTTGTATTGTAGGCAACATCTGCCAATCCATCTGAGATTAGAAGGATTTTTACAATGGGACTGCCGTATACAGCTCACCATGGAGGGCAAATACTATTTGGACCAACAGATGGATACCTTTACCTTATGATGGGGGATGGTGGAAGCGAAGGCGACCCGTTTAATTTCTCGCAAAATAAGAAATCACTTTTGGGGAAAATAATGAGGCTTGACGTTGACAGCACCCAAAGTAAGTTGGCGATGATGGTTTCTTTAGCAAAAGATGACAATGTTTTTTGTTCTGGTTTGTTGGCTTGTTGCTAATATTGGTACTCCGTTGATCTTTATCTTGAGTCATGTGCTTGAAATCTTAAGTGTACATCTGCATATCTGTTGTTACTACCACTGAAAACTTATACAGACTCCTCAGTTAGCAGGTTTGTAGTTGTTTAGGTTATAGGTTTACTGGTTTAGAGTTTATTCTTCAGAATGGCATTTGATTATGACCTACCATTAATGAAATGTATTCCCTAACCATACAGTTTATACTTCATGGGCAACCATTCCATATGTTTAAAAGGAAAATGAAAAAAATAAACCTACAAGATAGGTCTTTTCAAAAACCCTCCTGTATCATTTTTTAATGGTCTAACGCCTCCAACTTTTATAAGTTTCCATATCCTCACTAGCAAAGTTGACTGCTCAATATTGCTCACGATTAGCCTCCAGTTACTCCACTACTGCTCATGCGTTGTATAATTCTCATGGACCACACTAGCATCACAAATTAGTCTCTTTTTCCCGTCTAACCATGGCATTACCATAGCATCATGTTTCAAATTCTAATGCCTGAATTGAAATTCTAGTGACCCACATTAAATTAAAGGGTGATCGATATGGTGAAGTACCTGAAGTCATGCTCGAGGCAAAATGAGATCCATATCGAACTGTCAACAGTGTCATGGGGGAATATGAAAACTCATTAAAAAAAAAGCAGGCACTAGACTGCAACAGTCGGTGCCCTACTTTAATGTTAAAAATGATGTCAACTGAATCTAAAATTCTAAATCTGAAACATTAGAATGACAAAAAATCCTCATAAATTTGATAACCAGATGTTTGGTATGTACATGTGGTTGTGGATTTTAGTTATACAAATGTAGTTGATGATTCTCATTTGGTGTCTGGCGCCGCTAATTGTGACATCAGAATGGCCATTTCTTGCTGATTTCATGTTTCCTTCTTTTGAAGTCAAGTGACTATTCTGAGATGTCAGTTATTATTTACGTTCAAAAAAAGATGTCAGTAATTATAGCAGATAAACACTGAGATATTCGAAGCTTTCTACATGTGGGATGAAGTACAAGATTTAATTTGATTTGGTTGTGCTCAACCTTTATAATGTTGTAATTTTTCAGGCCAGAGTCAAACCACAAACCAGAGTTTATGGGGTAACTATTCTATCCCAAAGGACAATCCGTTTGCTGATGATAGTGATTTTCAACCAGAGATATGGGCCTTGGGTTTTAGCAACCCATGGAGATGCAGTTTTGACTCTGAGAGGCCTTCGTACTTCTACTGTGGAGATGTTGGGAAGGTATCTTTCCATTTCTAAGTTTATCAAGCCTCATGTTTTGACCATGAAGTTTGTCTGTACTTTCTTTTTGAAAAAAGTAACATATAATGCATACATGAAACTAGTAACACTCTCCCCTATACATTCAATCATTAAATTATTCAAATATAGTAGAATAAATGTCTTGCTTTATTTTCATTGACTGTTAATTTATAGTATGAACTATCATTACATCAATCATCTGTGATTCTGAAACCAGAGAGCTAATATAGGCTTATGAACAAAAACATAGTTTCCTAGCTTGAACTCTGCGTGGCGCTGCGTTCTGCTGATCTTTCGATTTTGTCTTGGACTTTTACCTTACACATGAGCAGGATGCATACGAAGAAGTAGATTTAATCACCAAGGGTGGAAACTATGGATGGCGTGTATACGAGGGGCCATACATCTTTCACCCACAAAAGTCGCCTGGAGGGAACACTTCACTTGACTCCATAAACGCAATTTTCCCTGTCATGGGCTACGACCATTCTACTGTCAACAAGGAAATTGGATCTGCGTCAATTACAGGCGGATATGTTTACCGAGGCTCTACTGATCCTTGCTTGTATGGAAGGTATGTCTGCAGTTATTGCCTAGCAAAACACCTGCATATTTTTGCAGTTTTACTCCCAGCAGCAGTTCTGCTTCCCACATTATGCAAGGTATGTCTGCGTAGATTCAGGAGCTCTGACATCCGCTGATTCTCTGCCAGGTACCTTTACACCGACCTGTACTCATCGCTGATGTGGACCGGCACGGAGACCCCAGAGGGGAGCGGGAACTACACCTCGGCCGTGAAACCGGTGAGCTGTTCCAAGACCTCCCCGATCGCCTGCGAATCCACCGCTGGGAGCACAGACCCGCTGCTCGGATACATCTTCTCGTTCGGGGAGGACAACAGCAAGGATGTCTTCGTTCTGGCGAGCAAGGGCGTGTACCGAGTCGTCAGGCCCAGCCTCTGCGGCTACACCTGCCCCGCGGAGAAACTGCCGACCGACAACGGCACCACGACGCCAGGCGGAGGGCCTTCGTCTTTCGCTCCCGCTCCCGCGACGCGGCTAGGGAGATCGGTGGCAGTAGCTTTGGCGTTGATTCTGTGTGCATTGTTATTGTAGCCTTGAGATGTGCAGCCCTTTCCCCCCACGGTGGTGTAATAGTCCCCTTGTCCGTCCCTTGCCGCGCAGCCTTGGCAGGCGACTTAGCTTGTGTTGCGTGTAAGATTGGCGGTTTTGTGGGGTTGGTCTTAGCTGAAGTTTTGTGGGAAACTACCTATACGTATAGCATGTTATCGACTTTGATCCGCTCGTACCTTGTATTTTGGTGGCATTTGAAGCATTGATTTGTGTCTTTTGTAGCGCGAGTAATAAACACTCAGAACAGTTCTGTTATGTAGATGCCTCCGGACAAACAAGAGTACTCTGTGCGTTGTTTTGGCGCGGCACTGGAACGTTTGATTCAGGAAAGGGGTTATTCGAAGGCGCGGAGGAATCAGCTGGCCTGGCTGTTCTTCTTGTCCTGAACGCCGCGGCTCCTCTCCTCGGTTCTGGCGGCCCCAGGCAACGTCGCTCTCGATCGTCTGGCAGTTGGAGTTGCTCGTCCTCGTGCTGGAATGGAATTCCATCGCGTTCGCGTCGCGGCGCCCGCCGTCGGCCCCATCGTGCGGAGGTGTGGGCGCCCAAACGGGAAAACAGGAGCAACATGGCCTTGTTTAAGAATTCAACAGCAGGCGGAACAAAAATCCAAGGATGCAATCTTCTCGCTGTCAACGATCGGTTGTAGTATATTCCAGCTCGCGAGCCTGGTCGGATTGCATTACACGTCACGAGTATTACAATGGGATGGTGCGGTAGGTGTAGGCAACTGCACGCACACCACGCCCGTGACTGCGTTAGGTACGTGTAGGCCTCAGAACCCTGTGGCGGTAGCAAAGATTCGGCTTTGATTTCGCCTCGCACAGGCAAGGAGAGGACGCCGCCGCTGGGTGGGTGCGTTGTTTGAGAAGCGGCATATCGGGTGATAATTACGTCATGGATGGAACGGGGCGTCCAGCGTCCTCTGCTCCTCCTGTCGTGTGCGCCACCACTACTCGGCTCTCTTGACGAGCTGTTGTGTCACAGCAGCGCCTACTGCATCTCCTCTGCCTGAAGCCGGCCCATCAGCTCTATCCCGGACGGCAACGACACAGAGGAAGAGTGAACGTGCCAACTTTCCAAGTACTCGTACTACTGGGCCTCAATGGGCTTGATCCGTAGGCACTAGAAGCAACTGTGCTGCTGGAACAACCCATCGGCAAGCCAGATGTATAAATGAGGAGCTCTGCTCAGAAAGAAGGACAACATGTATTGAACACAAACAAACCTAACTATAACCATTCCTCTGACTCCAACCCCGTGCTCTGCTTCTTCTTCCCCAAGTCTGTCTTCCTATCTCCTTCCCAATTTCAGTTACCTTAACAAACCTGGTATTAGAGACGAGTCGATCCCGATCCCGCGAGATCCCCTATCCCATCGATCGCCTGAACAAACGCTGTTGGTTGGTTCGAGTTCCCGGTGGTCAGTGAGCTGCTGAGTACCAGCGAACTCCTGTAATTCCGACGGCCCGTTCGACGATTTGTGGCGGATTTCTTCGATCTGGCGAGTCCTCCACCACCACCTCCACCACCACCTCATCCCCACTACACCCGGTCCACAAGGAAGCTTGGAGCCTTGAGTCCCGAAGGCCAACAGCTGATGGCGGAGCTCCAGCGCCTTTTCAAGGAGCAGACGTAGATCTTAGATCGGCGTTTCGCGGATGCCGAGCACTCGGTGGAACAACGCATCATCGAATCGGAGACCCGCCTCGATGGTCGCATCGCTGACTCGGAGGCCCGCCTCGACAGCATCCTCACTGAGTCCGAGCGTCGCCAAGACGGTCGCCTGAAGATCATCGAGAAGGTGACGGGCGGCCTGGATGAGTGGCGCCAGGACGCTGAGGGAGTGCTCGACGATATGCGCCTGAAGGTTCTGAAGCTGAACAAGGCATGGGATCGATCCGTCGTCGAGCAATCATCTTCTGCTCCGGGCCTGATCGCGTTTCCACCAAGTGTTGAGCAGACCGACAAGCGCCCATCTGCTGTCAAAATGGTTGCTCGGCCCAGCGGGCACAGCGTCGACCCACCTCCATGGGAGAATGAGTTCGGGGTTGTCACCACCCTCACTCATTCCCCTGGCCAATGGTACGAACTCACTCCCTCAATTCCATGGTACTGCTTATGATCTGTATACCGCGCGCAACAAAACCCCTTATCCCAATTCCTGGCCGCCTGGTCGCTTACCTAAGTTTCCATTTCCAACCTTCCACGGCGAGAACGTTCGGCTGTGGATTTCTAATGCCGAGGATTACTTTGACATGTACCAAGTTGAGTCCCACCTCTGGCTTAAAATTGCCAAACAACAGTTCAAGGATGCTGCCGCTCGGTGGATCCAATCTATAGAACCCTTCCTAAAATCACTTGATTGGCCCACTTTTTGCCGCATGTTGCATGAGCGCTTTGGCCGTGATCAACACCAAATTCTGATCCGTCGTATGTTCCATATTCACCAAGAGTCCACTGTCACCGATTATGTGGAGCGTTTCTCTGAATTGATTGATCAGCTCAAAGCCTATAACCCAAACATTGACATGCTCTACTATACAACTCGTTTTGTTGATGGTTTGCGTGAAGATATTCGTTCTATTATTGTGGTTCAGCGACCCCAAAATTTGGATACTGCGTATACCTTGGCTATGTTGCAGGAAGAGGTGGCTGATCCTTCCAAGCGCAAGGACGGTCGACATGATCTGGCATCTTATCATCGCCCGGCATTCAGGAATGCGTACCCTCTTCCTCCTCCACCGGGAGCGGGTGATGGCAATTTAAAATCTAATGATGCTGGCTTCACTACACCAGCCAATGCCAAGACTGCCGAAGACAAGCTCCGGGCGCTACGCAACTATCATCGAGCACGAGGCCTCTGCGATAAGTGTGTAGAGAAATGGTCGCGTAATCACGAGTGTGCGGCTACTGTTCGCTTACATGCCAGGCAAGAGGTACTGGAACTCTTTGCTCTCACTGAAGCCATTTCTAAACCTGATGATGCATCACCTGCCGAAGAGCAAGTGTTCCTTGTTATTTCACAAGAATCTATGTCTGGAGTTCCTGGTCCTCGCACCATGCAGTTTGCTGGCCTTATTCAGGATATGCCTATTGTAGTTCTTGTTGATTCAGGCAGTACTACTTCATTTCTCAGTACTCATGTTGCTGATAAGTTGCAGTCTGTTACTTTGAGCCCAGCCAGTCATACAGTACATGTCGCAAATGGTGATATCTTACAGTGTTCTACTATTGCTGAAAATTATTGTTGGTCTATGGCTGCTCATTCTTTCACTCATTCTCTGAAACTCCTGCCATTAAGCTCTTATGATATTATTGTTGGAATGGATTGGCTCGAGAAATTCAGTCCAATGAGAGTGGATTGGAGGAACAAATGGATGCAAATTCCTATGGGGGCTTCCACTGTTGTGTTGCATGGTTCTCCTGAACTTCAGTCTTCTGACATGGTTTTTCAGCTGTTATCAGTTCAGTTGGAAACTCAACCTACTTCTAAGGCATCCTAGTTACCAGCTGATATCATACAGATCCTGAAGGACTTCCAATCAGTGTGTGATCTACCATCTGAACTTCCTCCAGTCAGGCCATATGACCATACCATTCCGTTGATCCAAGGGGCTAGATCAGTCAACATTCGGCCCTATCGATATCCACCAGCACTTAAAGATGAAATAGAAGCTCAAGTCACACAAATGCTTCAGCAAGGTTTAATCTAGCCCAGCAGTTCTTCCTTTACATCACCAGTGTTGCTGCTGCGCAAGAAAGACGGATCTTGGCGTTTTTGTGTTGACTATCGATACTTGAATGATCTTACAGTCAAGGGCACTTTTCCTATGCCCGTTTTTGACCAACTCATGGATAAATTATCTGGTGCTCGTTGGTTTTCTATTCTGGATCTGTTTGCTGGCTATCATCAAGTAAGACTCAAGGAGGGTGAGGAACACAAGACAGCATTCTCCACTCACTTCGGTCACTTTGAGTTTAAGGTCATGGCGTTTGGTCTCACTGGGCTCCAAATACCTTTCAGCAGGCCATGAATCTGACTTTGGCACCTCTTCTTCGCAAGTGTGTTATAGTATTCTTTGATGACATTTTAGTTTTCAGTCCCACTTATGAGCAGCATTTGATTGATCTCAGGAAGGTGTTTCAGCTTCTGCAATCAGAGCATTGGCACATCAAATTGTCTAAGTGTCGCTTTGCTCAACAAAAGCTGTCATACCTTGGCCACATTATCAGTTCAGAAGGGATTGCCACTGATCCTGCTAAGGTTGAAGCCATTGTTACATGGCCAACTCCCTCCAATGTGCGCGAACTTCGCAGTTTCCTCGGTTTGGCTGATTTTTATAGGAAGTTCATTAGACACTTTGCTATGGTTGCCAAGCCATTGACTAATTTGCTGAAAAAGGGCACCTATTTTATTTGGACATCTGACCATCAGCTGGCCTTTGATACCCTGAAGCAAGCCATGAGTTCGGCCCCAGTCCTGACTATTCCAGACTTTACTAAACCATTTGTGATCGAAACAGATGCATCTAACAATGGCGTGAGTGTTGTTCTTCTGCAGCAAGGGCACCCCTTGGCATTCATCAGTAAACCACTGGGTCCGCGCACTCAAGGTCTTTCCACATACGAGAAAGAGTACATGGCCATCTTATTGACAGTAGAGCAATGGAGATCCTATTTACAGCTTGCTGAGTTCCTCATCTTTACCGATCGGAAAAAGCTTGATACACCTCAATGAGCGGCGCTTGAATCTGCTTTGGAGCGAAAAGTTTTTACCAAGCTTCTTGGGTTCATGTCGGATCATCTACAAGAAAGGGGCCGAGAACCGTGTAGCTAATGCTTTATCACGTCGACCACATGCTCCGAAACGTGTTTTGCTTTGTCCTCGGCAATTCCACGGTGGTGTCTTGAAATTGTGGTCGGCTACTCTTCGAATCCTCGAGCATGACTTTATATCACACAGTTGGTGTTGATCCATCTCAGTTCCCAATTTCACATTCCGAATGGGATCTTACGCTACAAAGATCGTGATCGGCTCGGTAACAACAAGAAAATGCAAGCACAAGTGATACGTTCGCATACATCAGCGATCGGTGGACATTCTCGGTGTTCCGGTTACTGTCGTTGTGTACGTCGACTATTTGCCGGACCGACTAAAGTCGATGTGCATCACTTTGTCACCACTTGTCCTACTTGTCGTTAGTCCAAACCTGATCGGTCTCGCTATCCGTCGCTGCAACCCCTCCCTCAGACCGTCCTCATGGCATGGCGCTCTATCTCCATGGACTCCGTTGAGGGCCTCCCACAGTCTCATGGGTTCAATTGTATCATGGTCGTTGTGGACCGCTTTTCCAAATTCAGTCATTTTATTGCCCTTAAGCATCCATTTACAGCTCTGGGTGTGGCTAAGATTTTTATGCAGCAAGTCTACCGCCTTCACAGCTTACCATCTTCCATCATTTCAGACCGTGATAAAATATTTCCTAGTACTTTATGGCAGGAATTATTCAAGCTCGCTGATGTCCAGTTGAAGATGAGCTCCACATACCATCCGCAAATGGATGGACAAACAGAGCGCGTGAATCAATGTATGGAAACTTTCCTTCGCTGCTTTGTTCATGCTACTCCAGTGAAGTGGTTTGAGTGGCTTCATCTTGCCGAGTTCTGGTATAACTCTAGTTGGCACTCTGCACTGGATCGCTCCCCATTTGAAGCCCTCTATGGTTATTCTCCTCGATACTTTGGCATTGATGCTTGTCCCTCTGTTGAGCTCACTGAATGGCTGGAAGACAAAATGGTCATGCAAAACTTGATCAAGCAGCATCTTCTACGTGCTCAGCGCCGTATGAAAGAACAAGCCGACAAAAAGAGATCGGAGAGAACTTTTCAAACTGGTGATTGGGTATATCTCAAGTTGCAGCCGTATGTCCAATCCTCTTTGGCCCCTCGTGCAAATCAAAAATTGTCTTTCAAGTTCTTTGGCCCTTTCCAGATTGCAGCTCGAGTTGGTTCAGTGGCCTACCGGCTCATTCTTCCGCCCACTTCCCAGATTCATCCAGTTTTCCATGTGTCACAATTGAAGCAAGCATTACCTGTTAAGCATCAAGTGGCTGAACTTCCATCTTCACTGACTGGGCTCCAGATTCCTAAATAGGTCCTTCAGCGCCGTGTGTCGTCCAGAGATTCTTCTGCTGTGGTTTTGCAAGGCCTCATCAAGTGGTCTGGACTGCCTCCATCCTTAGCTACATGGGAAGATCTCGAGCCTCTCAAGCAACGGTTCCCAAAAGCTCCTGCTTGGGGTCAAGCAGGTCCTAAAGGGATGGGGGAGTGTCACAGCAGCGCCTACCGCATCTGCTCTGCCTGAAGCCGGCCCATCAGCTATATCCCGGACGGCAACGACACAGAGGAAGAGTGAACGTGCCAAGTTTCCAAGTACTCGTATTACTGGGCCTCAATGGGCTTGATCCCTAGGCACTAGAAGCAGTTGTGCTGCTGAGACAACCCACCGACAAGCCAGATATATAAATAAGGAGCTCTGCTCATAAAGAAGGACAACATATATTGAACACAAACAAACCCAATTATAATCATTCCTCTTATCTCCAACTCCGTGCTCTGCTTCTTCCTCGCCAAGTCTGTCTTCCTATCTCCTTCTCAATTTCAGTTACCTTAACATGTTGGTACGGCCGACCATGCTAACGTGGTGCCCGCCTGCGTTGCCGGGGTACGACGCGGCGAGCCCTCAACGGCCAGCGTTGCATTGCACCTTGCACGTACGCACGTCGCGCCGTCGCGGTCCAGGAAAGCAGAGGCAGATGCTGGTTTTATTAGTGTGGCCGGCCAGCCGGCAGCTCAATCCATATCGTGTCGTCGTCGTCGTCGCGCTGTAATGTACTGGCCTCCTGTGAGCGATAACAACGAACCATAAAAGCACGACCCCCGCCTCGCCGGCTTCTCCAGTCCCAGGCTCCCCCAGCTCCCGCCTTCCGCCAGCCTCCAGACAAACCCCAGCCACCATGGAGGCCTCCGCCCCGTGCCCGCGCGCCCACCACGTCGACCTCCGTTGGCTGCTCTCCGTGGCCGCCGCCGGCCTCTTTGCGCTGCTGCTCCTGCTTGCCACCTCCCCGTCGTTCCGGCTCCCCTCCTCCTCCACCACCTCCCGCCTCTTCCTCGGCCCCGCGTCCCGCCCCTCCTCGGCGCGCCCGCTGCCCCCGCACTTCGTCGAGCCCGCGCTCTCCCGCCCGGCGCCCGCACCCCCGGCCGCCGCGTCCCTCCCGCGGTTCGCCTACCTCATCTCCGGCTCGGCCGGGGACGCCGGGATGATGCGGCGCTGCCTGCTGGCGCTCTACCACCCGAGGAATCGCTACGTGCTCCATCTGGACGCGCAGGCGCCCGACGCCCACCGTGCCGACCTCGCCGCCTTCGTCGCCGCGCACCCGGTGCTCGCCGCGGCCGGGAACGTGAAGGTGGTCGAGAAGGCCAACCTCGTCACCTACAGGGGCCCCACCATGGTGACCACCACGCTGCACGCCGCCGCGCTGCTCCTGTGGGGCGACGGCAGGGGCCGCGGCGCCGACTGGGACTGGTTCATCAACCTCTCCGCCTCCGACTACCCGCTCGTCACGCAGGATGGTAAAGGATTATTGGTTTCCGCTTTTCTTGCCCCTCCGAATCTCCGATCGCGCCATGCATGATCAGTGATGATGATCGGGTTGCTGAACCTGTGACGCTTGTGCCTGCCTGCTGCAGATTTGATGCATGTGTTCTCCAAGCTGCCGCGCGATCTTAACTTCATCGATCACACGAGCAACATCTCCTGGAAAGCGTACGTGCTCTGCTCTCGCTTGCATTGCAGCTCCTGCGTTCTCAGTTGATTTTGTTCTTGGCAACTGAGATTATTCACATGATGATATCGTCAGGTTTGCGAGGGCGATGCCGGTGATCATAGACCCGGCGCTGTACATGAAGACAAAGGGCGATCTGTTCTGGATGCCGGAGAGGCGGAGCTTGCCGACGGCATTCAAGCTATTCACTGGTGCGTGCACTGCTCTCTGTCTGTCCACCCGTGACTGTTAACCTGACATTGACAGAAGAATCTCTGGAATTCGTTTTTAGTGCGAGCACGCAACTACCCGTGGCAGTGCCTATTTGAGCCTTTATCTCTGTATAATAGTTGTTGATTGGTCTCCACGAGAACTAATCACACCAGTTGGATTGTTTTGAGTAGTCGTCATTGCAAGAAACTGAATTGTCTGAATCATGAAGCCATTGCCACAGCTTAGTTGGTTGAGTAGAAGGTGGTTGCAGCCCTGGCGTGCTTTCAATGCTGCGCGTTTCGCTTTCGGTGGCAACTCGCTAGAGTCTGTTCCTTTTGGACAAGAGCCTGGACCCTTTCCTCTGTTCCCGTTATAAAGCAGGGTGGAGTTTGGGACTTTGGGTACAGAATTCTTACTCACCGTGAAATGGTGAAAAAGTTTTGCACACGTAATAACGTTCCTTTCAGTCTTACTGCACTAACGGTTTTGAACCTCGGGGGTATACTGGACCTTGCAGACTTTCAGGCCTACATTTGTTTTTCCTTATGCTGCGGTATAGGTTATGTTGAGTTTTTTTTCATGATTCTCCGTCTAATCAGTTTCGGATAAATGGAGGGCACGTTTCTTTTTCTTTTGATATTTTGTTAGCAACTCTGAAATGCGGCCGTTATGCTTCAAACGTGTCCCCTCTTTGATCTCGCGCTCGTCAACTAACTTCGTTTCATGATGCGCTGATTATCACATTTTTTTCGTTTGATGTGCAAAATTAAGTTGGGTCAAGTAAATTTGGGAAAACTTGTGACCTGTTGCTTTATTTTTTATACCATCACTAATTGCTTATAGGGAGACATGGCTTGGCTGGCTTCAATTCGACTGTAGTTGCCCTGTTTGCTTGGCTTATAAGCCGTATTTATTTAGACAACGAATAATATTTTTCTCTCACAACAAATCAGCCAACAATACTTTCAATCATGGCTTATCAGCCAAGCAAACAGGGCAACAGTCGAATTTGTTTCTTTCGGGCACGACTCCATTGACCTAAAAAAGAAGAAGAAGATTGCACTTATATAAATGGGATGATATTCTCTAACAACAGAATAGAAACATTCAGGAAGACTTTAAAAAAAGGAACAGCAGAATAGCAGGGCGGCCACTACTTATCCGCAACCAATATGACAAAATTAACAAAGATAAAAAGAGTTCGAAAACTAAAAGATAAGAATGAAGTTGCATGCTAAACAGCTGAACAACGATTATCGTGCTTGCAGGTTCGGCGTGGATGGTGCTGTCCCGGCCGTTCGTGGAGTACCTGATCTGGGGGTGGGACAACCTCCCGCGCACGGCGCTCATGTACTACGCCAACTTCATCTCCTCCCCGGAGGGCTACTTCCACACGGTGGCGTGCAACGCGGGCGGGTTCCGCAACACCACGGTGAACAGCGACCTGCACTTCATCTCCTGGGACAACCCGCCGATGCAGCACCCGCACTACCTCACCGCCGACGACTGGGACCGGATGCTCACCAGCGACGCGCCCTTCGCGCGCAAGTTCCTCAGGGACGACCCCGTGCTGGACCGGATCGACGCCGACATCCTCGGGCGGCGGGGACCCGGCATGGTCGCGCCGGGAGGCTGGTGTCAGGCAGCTGCAGAGGCTCGTCACAGTAACAGAGGCTGGTGTCAGGCAGCTGCAGAGGCTGGTGTCAGGCAGCTGCACAGTAACGGGACCGACGACGATCCGTGCGCGGCCGTCGGGAACGCGGCGTTCCTGCGGCCCGGCCCGGGCGCCCAGCGGCTGCAGAGGCTCGTCACGTCGCTGCTGTCGGAGGAGAATTTCCGGCCCAGGCAGTGCGTAGTAGAAGACGGCAACTGAGCTGGGCTGGGCCGCTGGGCACGAGCTGCTACTGCCGGCGGTTCAGTTCAGCATTAGTGTGCCGGGCCTGACGCAATGTGCTTTGTTAATGTGATGTTAACTTAAGGCAACGGCATGGAGGTGATATATACCGTACCTAAAAGATGTATGGTGGTAGGTACATGATGCTATGTGCCGAGGTCCTCTGCGGTACACCCGATACATGCTACATGCATGCATGCATGTATGTACAGGTATGTACGACAGTACGAGTACGGATCGAAAATCACCCCCAGATATATACATTCCTTTTTTGAGAAGCCTCGTGCAAGAAAATTGCCGGGCATGTATGAACTAACAGAGAAGAAGATATATATACATCATATATATATATACTGCACTCTCTCCTTTCACGATGGTCTTTCAAAACTGTAGGGTTCTGCTCTCTTCCGATATAATCATTGATGTGCTCGACGACCCAGAGCCAGAGCCGGAGGTACATTGTACAGTCAGTACAGCAATGCCCTTTTTTTTTCCTTCGTGAGCGAGAGAAGATCCTCCTTGATACGTGCGGTACAGAACCCTGGCTGACCAGAGCAATCAAGTTGTCCGCCTGTAAGGATACCAATCTTGGTTTGAGCAGGCCACGGTCAACGGCAATCTATCGGCAGAACGGCGACCATCGGCAATTTGGCGTCCGCGGCCGGACTGCGCGCGGTTCGGCAACGTCGGCGTCTCCTGCCTGTCCCGGCACGGGATTGTCCCTGCATGTACAGGGCGCATCTAACGAGTCACCGTGTCGTGTTCGTTCCCTGAAGCCGTTGCCGTTTGCGTGCACACTTTTCCCCCCGTCGGATCGCGCCTGCGCCGCCCTGTTCGCTTAACTACTTTTCAGCCATGCGTCGGTGTTTACGAGTAAGGCCTTAGATCACCTCAAAATTCAAGTTTTTTCACTCTCTCTTCATCATATCAATTTTTAGACATATGCATGAAACATTAAATGTAAGTAAAAAAAATAACTAATTACACAGTTTAGTTGTAAATCACGAGATTGATCTTTTGAGTCTAGTTAGTCCATGATCGGACAAAGTTTGTCAAATACAAACGAAACGTGCTACAGTGTCCAGGTTATAAAAATTTGCAATCTAAACAAGGCCTAAATTTGTATTTATTGCGTGTTAGGTCCGGATGGTGTGCTAAAAGATATAAGGTTTATACTGGTTCGGGTAGAATATCTCTACGTCTAGTTTGCTGCTGCTGCTTATGTTATTACCACTAAAAGGTTCATAGTAGGGGTACAAACGGTCGAGAGAGGGACATGTCCCAAGTCTCTGATAGAAATGTCGAATGGATGCTAAGAGCTTGGTTGTTGCTTAGCTGTGTGTTATGTGGTGCGTGGTGTGCTAAATGATCTGTCCCGTTAGTGGGGTGCCCTACCCTTCCTTTTATAGACAAGGGGGGCAGGGATTACAGATGGGAGAAAGAGAAAAAAAAACTAGAGACAGAGAAGGTCCTTCGAAGGTGCCAGATCTTCCTTCTTCTTTGAGCCTGTCCTGCTGACATGGTAGACGGTGCCATGGATGGCACGTTCGTTGATCCTGATAGGACCGTGCTCTGGCTTCGTTCGACAAGAGGTCACGTCCCATCCCACTCCGGTGGGCGCGCGCGCACCAGGGTGCCGAGCCGCGACCCTATGGGGAGCAGACGACGTAGAGGCCCCATGTTCCTTACTGTAGATGACATGAGTTTCCTTTTTGGACCGTAGCAATTGTCATATGTTTCCGTCAGGATTCGTGTCCGAGGGCAAATGCCGGCGCCCATAACACTGTAGGACAAATATCGGCGCCCACAATACTGTTTGAGCTCTGACATGCCTGGAAGGGCTTAAAGCGTCTATCTGGTCATATCCTGATGATACTTCTCTGTAGGCGTGTAGGGTATGGTCCTCGATATTGCAGTTGACTTGAGTGCTCCGCCTTATCTGCACGCGTACTTATGAAGCAGTAGCGCATAGACGTCGGGCGAGGCGGAGCCAGCCCTGGACGTCGGGCTAGGCAGAGCCTGTCCCCAAACGTCGGGCGAGGCGAAGCCCTGCCCTCGGACGTCGGGCGAGGCGGAGCCTGCCCCTAGATGTCGGGCGAGGCGAAGCCCTGCCCTCGGACGTCGGGCGAGGCGGAGCTTGCCCCCAGACGTCGGGCGAGGCGGAGCCAGCCCTCGGTCGTCGATCGTCGGGCGAGGCCGAGTTCAGCCCTTTGGGGTCGGACGAGGCGGAGCCAATCTTCAGTCGTTTGGGCAAGAAGTGTAGCTGCGTTCTTATCTGTTCGGAACAATTAACGTTTGACGGTTATTAATTCCTCCTCTTTGGGTACCCTAGTATTAGGTTCCCGATAGTAGCCCCCGAGCCCCTGGGTGATTCGGATAGAATCGTCCGGGGGTGATTTGACTTATTAGAGGGTGCGCGCGAGCGCACCCGACAGGTGTAGCCCCCGAGCCCCCGGGTGATTCGGATAGAATGGCCCGGAGGGTATTTCAATTCATCAAAGGGTGTGCGCAAGCACACCCATCGGGTATAGCCCTCGGGTGATTCGGATAGAATCGCCCGGGGGGTAATTCGGACCCTTCGTGGGTATGGCTGTGAGATTTAGTGTTTTGATAACTGTGTAGTTCGATTGGAGTCCCGGTGTCCCATTCGCGGAGATCTAGCAAGAGTCAACCTGGCCGAGACTCAATCGCGGGTCGAGATACTTGTGGCATTCGTGTGCCTGGGTTTTGGTCGCTCGTGGACCTATCCTTCATTGTGAGGCTGCCTTGGGACAGTCATCGAAGCCGTTGATGGGCCCGCCCTCGAACTCCTGGACCCAGGTGGACCGGAGGAACGCTTTTTTGACTCGTATCCTTTCGCTGGTAAAGAGTCCTGTTCTGCCTGGGAAGGCGAAACGTCCGGCGCGACTTTGGTGGAAAAGGATAGGGATTGGGGGCACATATCCCACGCGGTGACGTGGTGACAAATCGTGGCAGGCGTGGAGATCCAGGCGGACGGTTGGCTTCCTCGCATCCGTCGCCCCTATAAAACCAAAGGGTTTGCCCCCAGGGTTTCGTACATTGCCTCCTTGCCTTTGCATCTATAAGCTCCGCCGCCAATCGCCTAAGCCTCCCGCATCCGCATCTCAGCCGCCGTCAAGTTTGCATCCACCCTCCCCAATCGTTCAATGAAGCAGTGGTGTAGATCCGATGTCACCCCCAGCGCCTGGAGGGCCTCGTTTGCCGTGGCCTTCTTTGTGCACGGACCGCCTCCGTGGAGTGGCGGCTGCCCGGTAATGAGGACGCGTCGTCGCCGCCCGAAGGCTACATTGTGTCCGTCGTTCACTTCCATGAGCGGGGATTTGCCACCCTCGCCCACAAGTTCCTTTGGGGGCTGCTGAATTACTACAATGTGGAGCTGCAACACCTTACTCCCAACAGGATCCAACACATTGTGGTGTTTATCGCCCTGTGTGAGGGGCTCCTAGGGATTAGTCCCCACTTCGACCTATGGTGGCACTTCTTCACCGTCACCCTCCTCAAGAAGCGGGAGAAGAGGTAGGAGCTGAGCGTGCCGATGAGATGCACCGGCATTCAGCTCTGCGGCAACCAGGTAAACGAATGCCCCTCGATGCGTCTGTCGACCTCCAACAAGGGGTGGCATTCGCTTTGGTTTTATATCAGGGACGACGCAGCCGTCCGCTTGCCAGCGTTCTCTGGGTGCCTCATCGAAGAGGTCCCGAAATCGTGGTGGAAGTGGGGGTCCCAAATAAAGACAAGAAGAAGATCCAGGACCACCTCGCCGCCATCCGCATCCTGAAGGAGAGGGGCGTGAAGGGGTCGGGGATCCTTGGCGCCTACCACATGCGGAGAGTGGCTCCACTGATGAGGCGTGTACTTCCCCTACACATGATGGCGCCCGGGGTGGCGCTTGATGGGACAGCGCTCGCCGAGGGAGCGCTCTCCCCCTCTGAAGTGGCGCAGCGCATCAAGGAGGCGATGGAGCCTTTGCGGGACGACTCCGGCGCCGCTCTTGATTTTGTGTATTCGGTTCGGTGTCAGGGCATCCCCCAATGCGACCGGAACCAGGGTACATTGACTTTGTAAGTACTCCTTCCCCGTGCCTTCTTTTTAATTGAACTCTCGACCCCTTGATGCGGATATTGGGATAGCGGGACCAGCTGAAGAGGCTCGTCTTTATGGATCGCTTGGCCCCGCTACCAAAGGACCCGCTCGTAGTGGTGGCGAATCGCACCGTGACCGAGTGGCAGAAGAAGAAGAAGGAGGTCGAGAGGAAGAAGAAACAACAGAAGTTGCGGGCACAGAAGGGAGGAGAGAAGACAGACAGTGATGATGATGACGACGACAACGACGAAGAGGATGATGAGGTAGTTACTGACATTGAGTGGGACGACCCGGCGGGTGAGGATACGCTGACAGGTATCCACTCGTCCGCGTAGGGGCCTTTCCCATTCCACGCGAGGAAAGCGTGTCCGCGGGGTTAGCGGAGACAGGCCGAACCGTCGGCCTACCCCAAGAGATAGTAGGAGCGGGTGGGTCTACCTCCACGTCTGAGGTGCCAGCGCAAGGGGGTGGCCCCGCCGTGGCACCCCAAGAGCCATCAGGGGCGGGCGGATCTGCCGCCGTGCCTGAGGTGTTGGTGGAGGGGAGCGGCTCCGCTGCCATGCCCCCAGACGCAAGGGTGGCGGGTCCCTCTGCCTAGGAGCAGGAGGCGGGCTAGAAACGGTCCCACCCCGATGAGGCGGAGCAGAGATCTGGGGTTTCGTCCCCCAAATGGCCCCACCCAACAGCGTCGATGTAAGCCACCAGTTCCTCTGTTTTTCTCTGTTGTCGTCGTGACTCATGCTTTTTGTGTTCTTGCAGTATCTTGAGGCGGCGTAGTTTTTTGTGGTGGCGCCCAAGAAGAGCGTCGCCATTCAGGCAAGACGGGGGCCATCGCCCGACGTCGCTCCTATCTTGGGCAGGAGCGGAGCCATTGT